GGGATCCAGCCCCCAGCCCCGCCCCCTCCTCATGCTGCTTCTCCCCCTCTGCCCCAGTAGGCCCGCGACACGGTCACATCCGAACTGGCCGCAGTCAAGATAGTCAAGCTAGACCCAGGTGAGGGCCCGGGGCCAGGGCCTCTGCGCTGAAGGAAGGGCAGAGCGCCTGGCTGCGTGGTGTGAGGGAGGAGAGTTGACACTTCCGAGACCCCCTGAGAGGCAGTTCCTAGGAGGTGTTGTCTCCTGGCACCTGTCTGGCCTGGAGGGAGGAAGAACTCTATGCTCATTTGCAGATGAGGGCACTGAGTTAGGGTGATCTCTCTGAGGTCCCCCCTCCCCATGCCTTGTGCTCCCCAGGGGACGACATCAGCTCTCTCCAGCAGGAAATCACTATACTGCGTGAGTGCCACCACCCCAATGTGGTGGCCTACATTGGCAGCTATCTCAGGTGAGGCTGCCTTATCTCCCTGCCCACTCTCAGGCAGCCCCCATGTTACCCTGCCATGTGCCCACCTCAGCTCTCTGTTCCCCCAGGAATGACCGCTTGTGGATCTGCATGGAGTTCTGTGGAGGGGGGTCCCTGCAGGAGATTTACCATGGTGAGGGCCAGGACTCCAGGCCCCAGAGGGCCACAGCCTTCTTCCCACCCTCTACCCCAACATGTGCCAGGAAGGGAGGGCTGGGGCCCAAGCCTACCTCACTGACTGTGTGACCTTGAGAAAAATACTACCTTTCTCTGGGCTCTGTATACCAGACTGCCTGGTTTTTCCTTGACCCAGGGTGGCCTGGGAGGGTCAGCTTATCCCCCAGACCACCGTGCCAGCTCTCACCCCTTCCATTTCAGCCACCGGGCCCCTGGAGGAAAGGCAGATTGCCTACGTCTGCCGAGAGGCACTGAAGGTAGCTAGGCCCATGAGGCTGCTCACACCCCCAGTCTCCCTGCTGTGGGCAGGGAGCCCAGCTGGCCAGTGCATGGGGGGGTGGAGTGCCTCAGGCAGGGCTGGCCTGAGGGGCTGTGGGTCCTGGGAGAAGGGGCCCCAGCCCTGTTGCCGGAAGCAGCCCATTTCCCTCTTGGCTCAGTCACTTCCTGTTTGGGGAGAGGGGAGGAGGAAGCGGCTTGGGTGGGGGGCCCAGTCCTCAGAGAGAGTTCAGGAAAGGTGGGATGGTGCTGGGTAGCTGCTCTCAGGGTCTCCTCTTTGTCCCCAGGGGCTGCACCACCTGCATTCTCAGGGGAAGATCCACAGAGATATCAAGGTAGGGGTCTGGCCTGGGCACTGGGGAGGGAGGAGATTCTCAGAAACACCAGATTGGACTCTCTCTTCTCCATTCCTGCAGGGAGCCAACCTTCTCCTCACCCTCCAGGGAGATGTCAAGCTGGGTCAGTACCCTGGGGACACAATCAGGGTGAAGGTTCTGTGGGAGCTCCTGGAAATCTTAGAGCCTGCATTCAAGTGTTGGGTGTCCTTGGGCAAATCACTTTACAGCTCGGGCCTCAGTTTCCCCATTGAGAAAAGTAGAAGAGTCCTCCCTTCCCACTAGAAGTTGGATGTGGTTGGATCTGTATGGAGTCCAACATCTGATCTGGCACTTGGTCAGAGATTGAAGGTGGTTGACCCTTCCCAGGAGGGGGACCTTAGCAGTTGTAGCTGAACTTAGTCGGCCTGTTTTCTGAGCCCTGCCAGGTGCATCCTGAGTCTGAACCTTAGAGGTGGGTGGGGCTTGGCAGTCAGAGGGCGGGTGAGAGTAGCTCTTTCTCTCTGCAGCTGACTTTGGGGTGTCAGGCGAGCTGACGGCATCTGTGGCTAAGAGGAGATCTTTCATTGGGACTCCATACTGGTGAGGCTGCATCTCCAGTTGAGGGAGAAGGGGCCACAGGTGGGGCACCTGGCCATCCCATTTGTGACCCCTTCTCTAGGATGGCCCCGGAGGTGGCTGCTGTGGAGCGCAAAGGTGGCTACAACGAGCTGTGTGACGTCTGGGCCCTGGGCATCACAGCCATTGAGCTGGGCGAGCTGCAGCCCCCTCTATTCCACCTGCACCCCATGAGGTCAGCTGAAAACTTGCCCCTTGCCTGACCCCTGGGGCCTGTTGACCCGCAACTCCTGACCTTTTGCCCTCCATAGGGCCTTGATGCTCATGTCCAAGAGCAGCTTCCAGCCGCCCAAGCTAAGGGACAAGACTCACTGGTGAGGGCTCATGTCCCTTGCTGGGGCCCCCTTTTCAGCCAGTCTTCATGGGAGTCGAGGAGCCATCTGCCAATTCCCAGGGTGTAGCCTCAAGAGCCCTGACTGACCTCTCTGGTATTCTGCAGACCCATCTGTGGGAGGGGCCTGGGCCCCACCTCTGGGCCCATGACTGGTGTGGACAGGGAAGACGGGCAGGTGGTTGTTGGAGGAGCCTCCATGTTGCAACAGCAGTATTGCTCAGGCCAGCTGCTCTTGGCCTCTGGCTGGCTCCTTCCTGGGCAGGCCCAGCAGACTCCTCTGGAGTGGCGGCAAGGGGCAGTTGGCAGGATGGCGTACGTGAGGGCTAACTTGGGTCTGGGGGCTCTTATGCCCACCAGGACCCAGAATTTCCACCACTTCCTCAAGCTGGCCTTGACCAAGAACCCCAAGAAGAGGCCAACAGCAGAGAAGCTTCTACAGGTGGGAGGCAGGGGGTGGGGCAGTGGGCTCAGTGCTTGAAAGCAGGCGCCTGGGGGCCAGCGACCATCCTGAGCCCTCCTCAATCCTCCAGCACCCATTCACAACGCAACAGCTCCCTCGGGCTCTCCTCACGCAGCTGTTGGACAAGGCCAATGACCCCCACCTGGGCACCCTCTCCCCAGAAGACTGTGATCTAGAGGTGAGTGAGTGGAGCTGGGGAATTGAGTCTTGGCCTGACCTGGTTGGGAATGCAGAGGTGACTAGGTCAAGGTCCCTTTAACTTGAATATTTCCAGCACAGGGAGCTTCCCTCCAGGTGAACCACCCATTAGGAATCTTCCCTGAGCCAGCCTTGCCTCCCTGTACTGCCTTTTGATAGGTTCTTGCCCTTGGCTCAGGCTGACTATGACCCTCACTCAGCCATCTTCTGCTTTATGATCTTTGGCCAGTTATTTGCCTCTGCGTGCTGGTTTTCTCATTTGCGAAATAAGGGTGCCATTTAATCTCACAATAATCTCAGAAGGTTATGAAAATAAATACTTGGATGTGTGTAAAGCACATTGGATGTGGTGTGCGGTGGGTGTGAGGTGAGTGCTTGGTGTGTGTCCACTGTTTGTGTTCTCTCTTAGACTTATGACATGTTTCCAGACACCATTCACTCCCGGGGTCAGCATGGCCAGGCTGAGAGGACCCCTTCAGAGATCCAGTGTGAGTCAGTGGGGTGGGGGGCTGTGTGTGTGGATTTGGTGGAGGGCTGTGTGTGTGGATTTGGTGGAGGGCTTTGTGTATGGATTTGGTGGGGCTGGGTGTGTGGATTTGGTGGGTGGGGCTGTGTGTGTGGATTGGGTGGGGGGACTGTGTGTGTGTGGTTTGTTTTGGGGGCTGTATATGAATTTGGTATGAGTGTGAGGGTTAAGTCCTGAGTCCTCATCCCCTCTAACCTGTGTATGCTGGGCCCCCAGTTCACCAGGTGAAATTCGGCGCTCCACGCAGGAAGGAAACGGACCCACTAAATGAGCCGGTGAGGGGCTGGCTGTGTAGGAAGGGTGGTGTGAGGGGTGGGCTAGGGGGCTATGCTGGAGGTTGAGCATCTCGAATCAAAGGGTCTTTGAAGCACTGGTCCTTGGGCCTGGGAAAGCTGTCCAAGCAGGCTTGTCCCACCCAGGGACTTGGAAGGCTGGGGGCTCTTCCTGGGCCAAGTCCTTCTGGACAGTCATCTGGAAGGTGGCAAGGTGACTATACCTTTAGAAAAAGTGCACCTGTTACACGCCTGGACCCCCACCCCACCCTGTTCAGCACGTTTGTTTCTCTCTGCCTGGGCCTCCTGGACTGACTGCAGCAGGCCCTTTGTCACTGCCTGGCTGACTCATGCCTCTGCTCTCTCACTGTCTCTCATTATCAGCATCTCGTCACTCCCACAGTCTCAGTCTCTGCCTTACTCTCTCGCTATCTCTGTTATTCTCTGCGGTTTTTCTGTCTCTTTCACAATCTCTTTGCCTCTCGTTGTCTTCCTCTCTCTCTCACAAGTCTTTTGCCTATTACTGTCTCACTTTCCATCTGACTATCTTTTCTCTCTTCCATAATCTCTTGGTCACCCTCTCACATTGCCTTTCTGTCTCTCTCCCCATCTTTCTGACTTGGTTTCCCCACAGTGGGAAGAGGAGTGGACACTGCTGGGAAAGGAGGAGCTGAGTGGGTGAGTGAGGGAGAGGAAAGCTGCAGGGGAGGGTTTAGGGGCTGCAGAAAAGGCTGAGCTCTGACCCCTTCCCCTCCCTGCCCAGGAGCCTGCTGCAGTCAGTCCAGGAGGCCCTGGAGGAAAGGTGAGGGGCTGGGCCTGAGGAGGCAAGGGGCAGCCAGGCCTGGGACCAGTCACATCTCATACTTCATTTCCCTCTGATTTGTGCACCTTAGGAGCCTGACCATCCGGCCAGTCCTGGAACTCCAGGTGCGGACTGGAGGGAAGCTGGAGCTGGGGATGGGGGAAAGTGCTGTAGAGGGTGCAGTTGGGGTGGGACCAGGTTACAAGGTGACCTGCTATCAGCTGGGCTGGGCCCCCTGACCCTCTCGCCAGGAGCTGGACTCTCCAGATGATGCCATAGGAACCATCAAGCGGGCCCCGTTCTTGGGGCCATCCCCACATAAGCCTCCAGCTGAGGACCCTCTGTCTAGCCCCCCAGGTGAGTCCCAGGCTCAGGGGACCAGGAGGCAGGCCCAGGGTGGGGGCTAGGCCTGGAATTTACACTGGGTCTCTGCTTGCAGGAACCCCACCCCAGCCTCTCCCAGGCCCTGATAGCCCCCCACCTCTCCCCACCGCCTGGGCCACTGTGAAGCACCGAGGGGATCCTGAGGTAAGGGGGTGCTACAGAGGGACTGGGGAGATAGGAGGCCAGGGGTATCACATTGACTCTGACTCCTCCCTTCCCTCCCAGAGATCATCTTGCCATGGGCTCCCCCCAACCCCCAAGGTGCACGTAAGTGTCTGCCCCGCCGCCCTGCAGCCCCTACCGCCCCACCAGCCACTGCCTCTGTGCTTCCTTATCAGCCTCTTACCTCCCCAGATGGGTGCCTGCTTCTCCAAGGTCTTTAATGGCTGTCCCCTGAGGATCCACGCTGCTGTCACCTGGATTCACCCTGTCACCCGGGGTAGGCCAAGGGCAGGGAGGAAGCAGGAGCCTGGGAATCCCCAGCTTGGGCCAGGGCACATGACTGACCTCTGACCCCGTGCCCAAACTTGCAGATCAGTTCCTGGTGGTGGGGGCTGAGGAAGGCATCTACACCCTCAACCTGCATGAACTGCACGAGGATACACTGGAGAAGGTGAGGCCCAGCTGGCTGAGGAGGGCAGAGGGCCTTGGGGGGCCTGGGGTCTGACTGCCTGTCTACCTGTCACTCTGGCCTGCAGCTGATTTCACACCGCTGCGCCTGGCTGTACTGTGTGAATAATGTGCTGCTGTCACTCTCAGGTACAAATTGGGGCAGCCAGGGGGGCAGGGGTGNGGGCCACTGTGAAGCACCGAGGGGATCCTGAGGTAAGGGGGTGCTACAGAGGGACTGGGGAGATAGGAGGCCAGGGGTATCACATTGACTCTGACTCCTCCCTTCCCTCCCAGAGATCATCTTGCCATGGGCTCCCCCCAACCCCCAAGGTGCACGTAAGTGTCTGCCCCGCCGCCCTGCAGCCCCTACCGCCCCACCAGCCACTGCCTCTGTGCTTCCTTATCAGCCTCTTACCTCCCCAGATGGGTGCCTGCTTCTCCAAGGTCTTTAATGGCTGTCCCCTGAGGATCCACGCTGCTGTCACCTGGATTCACCCTGTCACCCGGGGTAGGCCAAGGGCAGGGAGGAAGCAGGAGCCTGGGAATCCCCAGCTTGGGCCAGGGCACATGACTGACCTCTGACCCCGTGCCCAAACTTGCAGATCAGTTCCTGGTGGTGGGGGCTGAGGAAGGCATCTACACCCTCAACCTGCATGAACTGCACGAGGATACACTGGAGAAGGTGAGGCCCAGCTGGCTGAGGAGGGCAGAGGGCCTTGGGGGGCCTGGGGTCTGACTGCCTGTCTACCTGTCACTCTGGCCTGCAGCTGATTTCACACCGCTGCGCCTGGCTGTACTGTGTGAATAATGTGCTGCTGTCACTCTCAGGTACAAATTGGGGCAGCCAGGGGGGCAGGGGTGCATACTGCCCACCAGCACACTCTCTGAGCCCCCCTCTCTCCCTCCTTGGCAGGGAAATCCTCACACATCTGGTCCCATGACCTCCCAGGCCTATTTGAGCAGCGGCGACTACAGCAGCAGGTTCCCCTCTCCATCCCCACCAACCGCCTCACCCAGCGCATCATCCCCAGGTCGGGGACCCTGGGGGAGCCTGGATGTGCAGGGGAGAGGGGTGTAGGGGGAGGCAGAGGGGCCGTCAGAGCTGGACTCTGGCCTTGCTCGTTACTGGGACCTTAGATCTTAGACATGTTGTGATCTTAGACACCTCACTATGCCTCTCTGAGCCCCAGTTTCCTCATCTGTCACTGCAGTTGACTCCCCTCCCCTTGACCCCAGGCCTGTTGGGAGGCAAGAAGGAAGTAGTGGATGTGAAACTGCTTTGCAAATTGTGGGAGTTGCGGTTCTTAGGATGGGGGGCAAATATTTACTGAGCATTTAGTATGTGCTAGGCTTTAGGCTGGGCTTGAGTCAGCCCCTGAGCTGAACTGGAGGGAGAGGAGGGAGAGCTGGGAGGGGAGGGGAAGCCTCAAAAAGGGCAGGTGAGCTCGTGGAGTTTGGAAGTGCATAGCAGTCTGCCAGGCACTTAGGAACAGCCTTCCAGGCAGAGGGAAGAGCAAGTGTGAATCAGGTTGGGACTGGGGAGTTACAAGGTGTTTGGCCTTCGGGAGGAGGGCGGAGCAGCCTGTGAGGGAGCTGCACAGGTGGCAGAGCGCTCCCTTTGATGCCAGGCCCAGGATTTGGGCTTTGTCCAACTGGCAGCAGTGCTGTGAACATTTTAGAAGGACCCCTGTATGCCAATCAGGAGTCTTCCTGTGACAGGCGATTCAACTCACTGGCTTAAGTACAAAAGGGAATTTAATGGCTCATGTAGCTGAACGTCAGGAGAAGGGTTAGCTTCAGGCCCAGCTGGATCCAGGCGTAAATGGCATCAGGAATCTTCGTGCATCCCTTGGCTCCCTTTTCCTCTTGTCACCTTCATTCTCACATATGCTTTCCGATCAGTTGCACACAGTTCCAGGTCAGCATTCTACTACCTAAAACCCTGTGGAACCAGAACTTCTATTTCCAAGTAATTTCCACAAAAGTCTGGGGACCAATTCCCTCCCTCTCTCTCTCTCTCTCTCTTTTTGATTTGGGGGCCAATTCTCATTGGTCTAGCTGAGGCCGGTGCCCACCCCTGAGCCATCACTGGGCCAGGGGATGATGCAC